CTCTCTCTCTCTCTCTCTCTCTCTCTCTCTCTCTCTCTCTCACACACACACACAAATTGCAAGGAAAAAAGTAAAAGAGATGGAGATGGAACTTGCTTAGTTAAGTGATACATGCATTTTAGCCTTATTTGGATCCCAGTATAAAGTATTAAATTTTTTGCCAAGATAATAGAGAAAATATGAATACAAATTATGCATTTAATATGAATGGTTTTTGTTTTAGATGTGAAACAGTATTATAGCCATTTAAAAATTTTCTTTAGAAGTCTTATCTTTTAGTGACACAAACCAAAACATTTACATATCAAACAAACAAAGTCAAAGTAGCTTTAGGTCCTGTAGATGGTGGTAGAGGAGTCATATGCCTGGGCCACTACACCCCAAGCACTTACAGTCATCATCTGTGTGAAGCTTGGCCTTCAACTTCTCCATCTTTCGCTCATCTCTTAACAATGTCCTGTCTTTTTTGAGTGTGCCTGTTCCTTCCTCTTTTTTTTCTTCAATCGTTTCCTGAATTAAAGAGTATTCTTCATAGTTTGTTATTCCTAATAACAGAAAGGTTATAATTAAAAAAAAATAACTAAACTGCTGTCAGTTCTTCTACCCAGGACCTGGGATACTACTAGGAGTCCACGTTGGCAAAGCCTTTCTCCCTTGAGGCACAAGAAGGCCACAATGCTACCCAACTCTAGCTCCAGCAAAGGATGCTCAAGTAGGTAAATCATACTCAAAATGTCATGTGCAATTCCTTTCTCTCCTTCTCTCTCCCCACCCTAGAGATGAAACTTAGAACATGCTAGGCAAGCAGTCTACCACTGAGCCATATCCGTAATCTTTCCATTCATTTTGAGAACCAAGGACAAGATCAAGCAGCAGAGTCAAAGAAAAAGTATAAAGAGAAACTGGGCCCCCTTTCCATGAAGGAAAAACCCAAGACAGTAATACTCCTTTCTTCCAATATTTGAAAGAGCTTCAGAAAGGGGCAGAGCTGTTCTCTGGAGAGAGTAATAGAAATTATGAAGTAAATCTGTCTGATGGTCACACTGGCTGTTACTATAAGTGTTCAACAGATAATGGACATCAGTGGGGAAAGGATAAATCACACAATTAGAAAAATCACGTTCATTTAACAACTCCTTTTGTTTCCTGGGAGGGACATAAAAGCTGCCAACTGTGACTCAGTAAGAAGCATTCATAATACCAGACAGAGAACTGGCCCATCAGAAGACTGGACTACTCTTTTGGGACTGGGGCAGAACTACATGTTGTTAAGCCATACTCAGAACTGACAAGATCTGGCAAGAGGGTAATGTGCTAAAACAAGAGAACAGAAATGAAGTGTGGGAGCGCTCACCTATCCTGCTGCAGATTGTAACCAGGAGCTCCCCCACGGTTTTGGAGTCATCCACCATCACTGTCTTCACAGAGCCATCCAACATGCGGATTTTCTGAGGTCTCTGCTTTTTCTTGTATTCTAAAATATCCTAGGTACAAGCCACACACATCCACATGCTGAATGAGAAAACGCAACAAACTGTGACACTTTTCTTTGGAAAACAAGCCCTACAGGATGCCGACTTCTTCTTCTGTCCAAAATTTCTTTGAAAGTCTCCCTAAGTCTTCATGGGGGTGCTGCTGTGATTACTATACAAAATTTTGAGAGCTAAGTAATTAACTTTCATAAGAATTTCTAAAAAATCTGGTAATGAAATTGGGCCAGGAAGGAATACTTGTAGCTCACGATGACTAAAACTACTGCCTCTACAGTGGAAGTGGCCTCTCTAGTCATCTTTAGTCATGAAAAATGATTTTTACAAATTATACACACAAAATGAGCACTTATTTTTAAAATGTTATTTCAGAATGTTTATTATATATGTGTTTATATAGTGAAAGACATAAACAAAATCCCTGATTCTTCGGGTAGAGGCTGTGGCAGCAGGAGTGTGTCTACGAGACGGCAAGGAGACACAGTACCGGTTAGATACAAGGAGTAAGGGCGGGAGCGCTTGCAAAATATGAAACCTTTTTCCTTTTAAATTTTTTTATTTATTATTTTTATTTTATGTGTATGCATGTATTGCCTGCATGCAGGTAAGTGCACCCATATCATGCAATGCCCGAGGAGGACAGAAGAGGCTATTGGACCCCTTGGGACTGGAGTTATGGACAGTTGTTAGCTGCCATGTGGGTGCTGGGATTCAAACCCGGGTCTTCCGAAGAACAACCAGTGTTCACCCACTGAGCCATCTCTCCAAACCTTAAGGCCTGTTTTTCATTATACACCTTACAAACAGAAGTATAGAAGAGGAGCAGAATTAACATGAATTGCTTGAATACTCCACCCTTGTTTTATGGAATATTGGCTATGGAGGTTTGAATGAGAAATGTCTCTCATAGTCCCAGGTATTTGAATACTTGGTCCCCCGTTGGTGGTCCTCTTTGGGGAGTTTATGGAATCTTTGGGAAGTGGAGCCTTACTGGAAGAGGTATGTAAAGGGGGTGGGCTATGCAAGGAAATAGCCTCCCCTCCCCTCCAGTTTGCCTTCTCTGCATCCTGAGTGTGAATGAAGATGTGAGCTCTCACCTTCCTGCTTAGGCTGCATGTTGCCACTCCTATGCCACTATTATGGTTTCTAACCCTCTGGAACCATAAGCCAAAATAAATTCCTTCTTCCATAAAAGTTGCTTTTGGTCATGGTGTTTCTACCACAGCAACAAAAACTAATTAATAGACCAGCCAATCTGACAAGCTCACTTCACCAGCATACAAAATCCCAGTATCTTGGAGGGTAAATGGAATAAAATGTTTTCAGCTCATATTTTCTCTACTTCTTTATTTTTGTTACTATCACTAAGTTATTAAAGCTATATAATTAACAGTTATAAAGGATACATCTCCAATCTGAAGTTCTGTTCTCAAAAGATAAACCCCCGATTAATATTCAGACTTAGAGTATCTTTGTTTCCCTCACAGAGATTCAGTTTTCATGATCAGCCCCAGTGACATCACCCATTTACTCAAGGAACTTACCTCACAAGTGCTAAGTCCAACAACAGCATGGACACCAGTCGGCATACTAACCCTGAACTGTTTCAATCCCTCCATGGAATTCAAATATTTTAGATGGCTGGCATTTTCTTATCACTTTGACAAGCTCACAATGTTCATTACAGGGAAATTATTACCAAGAAGCCCTTGAACTGAAATAGTGTTATAATGTTAGAGTCTATGGAAGGCCCAGTGACAAAGGATGAGAAAATAGGACCAATGAGCCAGCAGGATGGCTCAGCAGATAAAGGTGCTTGCCACCAAGACTGATGACCTGAGTTAGATCCCTGAGATCCACGAGGTAGAGAGAAACAACTCCTACAAGTTGCCTTTCAGCCTCCACATGTATACCATTGAACACAC